TACCATCAAGGGCAGAAGATGCTACGTTTCTTTCCGATGTACTCCTAAAGAAAAACCTGACTTGGTTCTGAGTGCAGAGAAAGTCTCGCTTTCCAGCTGTACCTGATTCAGCCCCTCACTCAGAATGTGAACCCCATTGGGCCCCCAAGGGCTCCTCCCCTGCCCTGAATTCCACCCACCCAGATGGCGTCCTCTCATTTTATCTCCCAGATGTTCACCATTCCTTGGCGTCTCCCCCCCCCCAAACAGCATGTTCTGCCCATGTGAATCCTGCTCTGACTTTTAACAGCCGCTCCGTGCAGGGCAGGCGGAGGCCCCCCCGCCCCCACCCCTCCATCACTCTGAGGGCAATTTCGGAGCCTGTGCAGCTGGCCCATCAGCCAATGAACTGAATGAGGCTTGGGTGGGGTGGACTCAAGTTTTTTTTTGGGGGGGGGTTCAGTCTCCCTCTCCAGGGTCAGTGTCCATGCTTATCAGGCATCCACACAAAATATCACTTCTCCTGCCCAGCCTTGGGAGCCGTGCCTTAAGTACTGCCTTTAGTGGCACGGACCACATACGGTGGAATCCAAGCATGTGTTGTACGCCATCAGAAATTAGTCCGAGTTCTGTTTTGGGACACACACCCCACTCCCAGAATTGCCCACCAGCCCAGCTGGCTGGAAGATTCTGAGTGCAGAAGTTGCGAAAAGTAACTTGGGCACCAGGCTGAGCCCAGGAGGGTCTTTGGAAGCCCGTCACCAGCCAAGCAGGGCTCCTCCGACCCCCCACCGCCACCCCCCCTTCAGTTCAACGAGAGGGCCGCCTGCCTTCGGGCAGGTCACACGGCCAACATCGGCAGCAGGGGAGTGACCGCCCAGGCTTTCTTGCCCTCTTGCCGTCCTCGTTCCTCTCTTTCCTCTGCTCACAAGTGTGGTGGAAGGGAGAGGTGGTGCCGGCAGACAGAAGCCTGCACCGGTGGGCGGCAGAGGGCCTTCGAAACGGCGTAGAGGGTGGTGGCGTGGGAGCTGCCTGAGGGGCCGGAGGTTGCTCATTCGTGATGCTGGCAGGCCTTCCCTTGCGCCACCGCCCTGGCGGCTGCTGGATCGGGAGCAGTTTGGTCTCAGAAGGAGCCCAGGGTTTGCAGGATCAAGCCCAGCCAGGGCAGCAGTTTACTTAAGGAAGGGCACTTTCCCTTCCAGAAGCTGCCACAGCAACATCAGTTTTTGGCCATGCTCCCGGGCCCTGGCGGTCCTGCTCCAGCTCCGGTTTCCGTTCCTGCTCTGAACTCTGGTATTCCTGACCCTGCCTTTCTGCTCCCTTCTCTGGCTCGGTGCTCCCACTCCTGTGGCCCAGTTCTGGTGCTCCGGTTCCTGCTCCTACGGTCCGATCCTGGCTAGCTGGTCCATGTCTGAGCTTGGCCTTGGCCCTCTGGGTTGGTGGCCAGGTCCCAGTGCTTGGGGCCCCTGCTGTTGGAGGCAGCCTCGCTGAGCTTGGTGTGCCCCTGGTTTTCTGAAGATCCGGAACTAGGAACCGTCTGGCAGATATCAGTGGGTGAAAGGCATGCCCCCCCCAAGGCTCTAGATGGTGGGGAAGAACCTAGAGGAAGGTGGGGGCCATGCCTTCTATACATAGCCTTCGCCAATACTTCTATACATACTTCTGCTGTTGGTGAATCAGGCCCCTTGTATGAGCTTGATTGTTTGTTTGTTTGTTTGATTTATGTCCTTTCTCCTGTGACTCAAGGCAGCTTTCAAGTAAATAAAGCAAATACAATTGAAAACTAAGATGAATACAAGCATAAAAATGTAAAACAGAATTTTAAACATACCCATAAAAGTGTATTTTATTTATTCATTCAATTCATGTGGCCGTTTTGAATTTAAATGCTTGGCTTCAAGCCATTTTCTAGCTTAATGAAATGGCTTTTTAAAAGATCCTCCAAGCAACATCTCTTGGAGCGGATTAAGCAGAAAAATATATTGATCTGCTTTGTCCCCAAGTACTTCATCTGGAGCTATAACTAATAAGATGAACAACTCTCTGGAACACACTGTCTAGCTGCAAACGAGGGAGCCAAAATTACCCGGCGTTTCAGAACTGGCAGAAAAAGGGGCTCTCTTTACAATGATTGTGATGCGCAGACTGGCCCACTCAGGAGGGTCGTTCTGATCAGGATGCGACGCGATCTAAGTGGCCGCCAGGGAAGCCGGGCGAAGGTCCAGAACAGACCAGTTGCTGCCGTTGTGTGCGATGCATAAAGAGAGGAGAAGGACGGTTCATCCTTGATTGAAACTTGGGAGCTCTGTTTATATACCAGAAAGACCAAAACCAAGCATTCATCTCGAGTGCTGTGGTTAGGTCATCTTTGGCTCGGGAGAGGATGCTGAAGGAGCCTTTACCTTATAGATGGCAAGGTGTGACTCCTACGTTTATTTCAAAATGCATCACGCTATCCTTGATGGGTCTCTGCTGAATAGGGCCCTGGATTTCAATCCTGTGTCTTGCACTGACAGGACTATTATTCACGAACAGAAGCTGAACAGATTTCCCAGAATGTAGAAGTCATGTTTTCCTTGCAAGCAGCTTTGTTACTTAGAATGAGTCACTTTTCTGTTCCCGCTATGGGGGTGCAAGTGAAATGACATTTCATAAGGAGTGTTGTTGTTCTTGTTGTTTCGACTTAAATATTGACCCACAGTGCTTAGAGCACTCTCTTGGCCATTTACAACATAATTGTGCAAGCAACCCTAACCCTCCCTTCCCACTCCCCAGTGAGCTGAGTACTAATTTGACCATTCTTGGAAGGTTCTAAGGCAATAAGTGAGAGAAAGTTTACTCAGTGTAACAAGAAATGGGTTTTGACTATGGTAAAGGTTCCCGTTGACATTTAGTCCAGTCGTGTCTGACTCGAGGACGTGGCGCTCATCCCCGTCTCCAAGCCGTAGAGCCGGCGTTTGTCCGTAGACAGTTTCCGTGGTCACATGGCCAGCACGACTAGACACAGAACGCCATGACCTTCCCACTGAGGTGGTACCTATTTATCGGCTCACATTTCTAGGTGCTTTCAAGCTGCTAGGTTGGCAGGAACTGGGACAAAGCGACGGGAGCTCTCACTCTGTTGTGTGGATTCAATCTTACGACTGCTGGCCTTCTGACCTTGCAGCACAGAAGCTTCTGCGGTTTAACCCTCAGTGCCACCATGTCCCCTGACTATGGTAGGATCCCCCATATCCGCAGGAGGTTGGTTCCAAGCACCTCCCCCCTCCTGGATGCTGAAAACCGTATATAATAGTGAATGCTTTACGGTGCATGGTAAAAAAATCCAGAAAAAAGTATTTTCACAGTGTATTACAAGAGCTGGCTGCTAGAGGGAGCCAGAGACCATGCTGTGTATTTGAATAACAGGAATATTAGAGGGAGCTAGAGACCATGCTATGTATTTGAATAACAGGAATATATAATGTTTCCCTGAAAATAAGACCTAACCTAAAAATAAGCCCTAGTATGATTTTTCAGGATGCTCGGCATAGAAGCCCTACCCCCCCCCCCCAAACAAGCCCCAGTTAAGTGATACCCAGCCCTCCACCACTGTGCAGCAATCAGAAGATGACATGACTGTATTTGAATCAATGTAGATGACTGTACATGAAAAAATAAAGCATCCCCTGAAAATAAGCCCTACTGCATTTTTGGAGCAAAAATTAATATAAGACCTTGTCTTATTTTCGGGGAAACACAGTAGCATGGCCTCTCACCCCCTCTAGTGGCCAGTTTTGATAAACACATTGTGAAAATACTTGTTCCTAATTTTTTCTTTTAATAGTTTTAGACCATAGGTAAGTGGAATTGTGGATTTCTATCCCACAGATTGAGGGGCCCTATTATACTTTTAAAAGTCACTTTTAAGGCATCTTTAGGAAGATTTTCACATGAATCTTTGAAGTTTTACGACATTCTGTTATTTATTTACCTCTGTTCCTGGAAACATATTCCTGGGCAACATCACAAATGTACCTGAGCATACATGACACTGTCTTGGTGTAATTGCGCATACAAGTGCCATTAGGGCGGTGTGCGTGTGTGTGTGTTCTTTCCTCGTGATTTCGGTGTGTGTGTGTGTGTGTGTGTTCTTTCCTCATGATTTTGAATTGTGAACAAACAAGGGAAGAAAATAAGCACTTTGTCACATATACCCAATGAGTAGATGCTGAGGCCAGGTGAACACACAGCAGAAGGCACGATACCCAATAGCAGAATTGGTGACCAACAGTATCAACTGAATATGTGGTTAATTTTTGACAGCCCACTCGAGTCTAACTTCAACAATTGACGTAACAACCGTGCAGTCTGTTGTTTTTTAATAGCCACACAGCATTGATGTGAATGGTTTAGATCAATGCTTCCCACCTTGGGGAGGTCCCCAGATGTTCTTGGACTAGCCAGCAAAGCCAGTGGTGAAGGCTTCTGGAAGTTGTAGTCCAAGAACATCGGGAGATCCAAGGTTGGTTCAGGGAAAGGAAAGGTTAAGCACTGGCCCAAATCTATCTGCATCGGTCTAAGCATATAAATCAAGCTGTGCTAAATCAGACCCAGAATGTGATCAGGGTTCTGTTGGGTAAAGGTCATCCAAGCAAAGCCCACCAGCAGGACACGATTTGTCTTCCCCAGGAGCTGGTCTACAGAAGAATGCGCCCATGGGTAGGTTGGTGATATCCAACCCAACTTTTATCCTAATGTCTCTAAACTGTGGAGTTTCTGGGTGTCTGTCATTATTTGTTTTTCTAAGGTAGGGATGGCCAACTTCTGAAATCTTAGTGGGGTGCTTCTGGGGAAGGGGTGGATATTGGCCCGAGCATGAACCACCTTTTTTTCCCCAAGTTCTCATTTTTGTGGTTTTACATTTGTTTCATCTTTCCACATATTTTGCAAATCTTTGTTAAATGTGTACATGAAAATCTGCTTGGACAGCAGGACTAAGACAGTATCTCACCTTTGCTGTTTCTCTACCATTAGGGAGAAGATGCCATTCCATCATGTCACGGCTGGGCTGTTGTATAAAGGAAACTATCTGAACCGGTCCCTCTCCGCTGGCAGTGACAGTGAGCAGCTTGCCAACATCTCAGTGGAAGAGTTGGACGGTAAGGATGATCATCAGCTGGTGGGCAAGGCACTGTGCTCAGTTCTTTTATAAAAATGCTTATTGTCACTACATATAAAGAGTGCTTGCAAAATTGGGCATTCTTGATAAGCCACACTGTTTGGATGCAAGCAGCCTGTCGAGAAACGAGATCCCAGCATCATTTTGCCTCCAGCATCACAACAAGGGCAAAGGTCCCCTTCCCCCCCCAAGCTTCCGGGGATTTGCACAAAATGTCTCTATCCTTGTCGTCTTTTCCCTTTGCGAAGCAAAGCAAATATAAACACAACACAATAGGTCTCAAAAAGAGAGAAGCAACCCATCTGGTGCCTCTGGTTTTAATAAATCCCTATAAATGAAACAGAAGGAACCGCAGTTTTGCACAATGGGTGCAGTTTGTGCAAAAATCATACTTGCAAATGAGAATATTCATTAGTACGGGCAGAAAACATCTTGTGGATGAACATTTGGCGATAGTTCTCCTGCATGGGAATAAGTTGTGTTTTAAATTGTCTTGTGAAGGATGTGCTTTGGGTGAGGTGTTTGTTGGGGGGGGGTGAAATGTAGCACAGGGTCAGAAGAAAATTAATCTTGGAAAGTGAAGGCTAGTTGTGATGAACAGGTCAGTAACCACTCCTGTCCATCACAATGGAACCCTGATTTAACAACTAATGGGTGAACAGAAGAGGCGGAACGAAGGATATATCAGGGAAATGGAAGACAGTTAAAGTTCAGTTAGGTAGCAGTTAGGGAAGAGTTAGGGATGAGTTCGGGATATGAGTTAGAGTTAAGGACTTCAGTTAGAGAGAAATAGTTTAGGCAGTTAGGACCAACCTGGTGTTGGAGAAGAATAGAAAGATAGAGAACAAGATAAGAAATGAATAAATACCTTGATTAACATGATTCTATCTAAGCAAATATAAATGTTATAAAAGCACAGTTGATTGAATGAATAAAATAAGACCATCCATGATTCACTTTACATGATTTACTGATAAACACATAAATATTGTTTTATTGGAGAACTGTGAATTAAGAGTCATATTTAATAGAGGGAGGGATAAACCCTCTGGTGGCAGCGGAAAAGGGTTGAAAAATAAATGTCATGCCAAAAGTGAACCTGGGTTGTGTGGAAGAACACAGGGGGACTGGGTGTGCGTGACAACAGTTGTGGAAGAACAAACAGAGGAACTGGGTGTGCGTGACAACAGTTAAAAATGGTAAAAGAAATCTTGTCACCTTGAACATGGTTAGAATACAGCACAGAAGCTTACAGCATCACAACTATGCCGTTAGCAGGATGTAAAACCTGGCACAGCATGATCTGTTTTCTCCTAGTTCTTGGGCAGAGTGGAATTTAGCAAGAATTCTTAGCAAGAATCACTGATTACAGTTGGTTCAGGAAAGCTTCAAGAACGGATACATTTTAATTTACTTGCTCTGGTCTGGTTCATAATCCTTCCCCCATTAGAGCATAGCCATTAGAAGAGTACGTCTTACTCCCAGGCAGCTCAATCTGCACTCCTGGTGCGTGAGAAAATGATGCGTATCATCACGAGATGCGAATAATTTTTGCAAAAAGAATTCTTGCTAAATTCCAGACTATGGGTTAAGGCTAAAGTTATTTCCCTCTATCTTGGGTGCCCGCTGGTCACACCTTATGAGATTTTCTGGAACCAAATCACAAGCCGAGCGTTGGATCAGAGCAAGTGACCCACTGAACGGTGAGTTCCTCACCCCTGAAGCCCTTTTGGAACAGAGAGGAGAGGCCTTGCATCTTCCAACTTGGGCTTGTGGCTGAGAGGCAGAAAAAAGGTGCGTAGCTTTTTGCCACTTGGTCTTTCGGGCCCTGCCCATTCGAGAGGGTCTTTCTGCAGAGATAAAGATGGAGGGCAGCGGGGTGGGAGGGGACAAAACACCCCCAGGGACTTTGATTCCAAGGGCAGTTGACGTCTTTACTGCTGATGGGATTTAAATTTAAATGATTTGAAGGGTATTGCGTGTGTAGCCACAATTCAGAATGCTGGGAAAAGGGTGGATGTTGGTTTATGATAATATTGTGCTTGCTTAATTGGCTGGAAAAAGGATGCCAGGGACTCTCGGGGGCCAGGGCCGGCCACCTAAACATTGGCAACCTGAATCTCAGTCGTTGAGATGGTCTGCATCTTGACTTCACTACGGTTCATAGATACCAAGCGCGTGGAAGTCTCGGAACCTTTGTTTCCATCAGAGTTAACCATTTCTCGCCCAAATACCAAACCATTGGCACAGCTGGTTTTCGACATGCCCTATAGCTATTGCTTAGGGGATTTTGATTCATGGATACAAAAGCAACCTCTCGTATTCATGAATTAATTTTTTTTTCTTTTGTTTTTCTGAAGGATTGAATTTCTTGACCTTTTAACATGGACGTTTTAAGTGTGCACAAATTCTAAGTCTCCTCCCCCCCCCATAGATGTGCCCAGTACTCATGCTTCCCAGAAGACCGTCGCCTAACCTGTCCTTTACTGGTGGGTGAGGGGTTTGAACCAGGAAGGTGGACGGGTTGGGGATGCAGTTCCTCTGTGCCCAAGTAGTTTGCCATTCTCTTGTGGAGTGATGGACGGGGTTGAAATACAGGTGTGAGAGGGGTGCCCCACACCCAAGGGGTGAAAGAGACCCACCCACCCTTTGGCTATTCTGATATACTCATGTCGCTCTTACTGGGGGTCGTGACCTGCTTTGTTCGCCTTGAAAGAATCCTCGTCCCTTCGTTGGAGCTTTTCGTATCAAAAAACCCACATACCAGACACAGTTTTCGACTGCTTGCCATTTGGTTGGGGCAGCCCCTTGCTAGCGGGCTGTATTTCACTAAAACTGAGACCAAACACAAAATAGTTTGCTTTTCAGGGGCCACAAGATGGTGCATTGAGTTTTTCTTTCTTTTTTTCATCTTATTGTTTTGTTTGTGTTTTGAGGTCTGTTGACAGAAGAAGGCTCTTGAATGTAATGCGATCCATTTAGGTGCTACATTGAGGGCAGGATGGGCCACTTCAAAAAGCAACCTAAAGAGGCAGTTTTGGAGGTCCAGCACTCTATCCTGGTAACCCACATTTGCTCAAGAAACATGACTCTCTAGCTCCAGTGTCTCTAGGAAGGCTTATTCCCTGAAAACAGGACTGGCTCAAGAGGAGGGACGGAGTAGCAACCACGAGGCGGTTACGCGGGCCACAGACGGCTCTGTCTGGGTCTTTCTCCGGTGCAGGCAGACAGCTGTACCTGTCAGTCCACATCAGCTCACCAAGCTCACAGTGATGTATTATGGAGCTGCATTCCCACCGTATCTGAAGGGCCACCCTCGCTCTGCCGTCTGCGAACTGGACCGCTGCCCTCCGTTTGCAACGTCTCTCCTGGTGGTCGGCGTCCGGTGTCCTCCTCCCTGACCGGGGGAGTTCTCTGTAATCCCTCCGTTCAGCTTTTGGGCAGGAAAAATCTTCTGGGCATCAGTTGGAGGGGAGGGAAGAGAGAGGAAGGGGTGGCGGAAAGAAAGACAAGCCATCGCTGGCTTCCCGCCCTTAACACAACCAGCGTATCCCAGCAGAACAGTCATAAGGAGAAAACGTGACCCTTAACAGTAGGAGAAAGTTAGGTTGTGGAAGGAGGACCAGGAAGGGGAAAGAGAGAGGAAGAGGAAGAGGAGGTGGAAGGAAAGGCAATCCCCGTTCTGCAGACCTGAAGACTGCCTGATTCTGCCTACAGTGCCCTAGAGATCGACATGCGTCGGAAGCTGGTTTTCTGTCCCAGTTGTTCCTAAGGGGCTGTCTCTGTTAAAACACAGCAACGAGGCTGTGTATTTGAGCAGCTTAAAATTCCTTCTGTTTCTGAGCAAGCGCGCACGTGGAAGGGCACTCCAAGGTGAGAGTCGTGTTCATCTGCTAGAGAAGAAACCAGCAAAGAGTACAGTAGCATCTTGAAGCTTTTGCCTCAGGTAAAATGTACTGCATTCAAGGATTGCTCCTATCATAGACTCCAAGAGTCCTGGAAATGGAAGGGGCCTATGAGGCAGGGATAGAAATCAAAGGAGATCTGCCAGGCAGTGCTTTCACTTTCTCTTGAAGGCCTCCAACGCTGGAGCGCTCAACCACATCCCCGTGAGGTCATGGGTTCCATTGTCCGACTGCTCCAACAGTTAAGAAGTTTTTTTCTCCCCTGATAATTCAGACGAAATCTGGCTTCCTGTCACGTGTCCTTCACTCTGGGATGATTGAGATCGGATCCCACCCTTCCGTGTCTGCTTCAGGTGCCAGATAAAGCACAGCCATTTACTAGAAACTTGATAAGTCTCTTTTAGAGAGATGGCTCCCGCTGCACATTTACTCTGCTTTGGAAACGTTCTCAGGAGGTGATTGGGTCGCTGTTTCTTTTTTAGATGTGCCCGGGAGAGGCCACACAAGGATCGGCTCCAGCAGCGTTGACTCAAACGACCTGCAGCGCTGATTCCTAGTTGTTGCCTCCCAAGCAATGTGCTGAGCTCTGCCGCCCCCCCCCCCAAATACAGAGGACATGAGGCTGAGGATGCGAGTCTGCCCGGGCAGGAGAGCGGACCAAACCGTCCGTCGGGTTCTGTTCAGCTCACTCTTTCCCTCCCACCCACCCCCTGCACTAAGCACTCCTTGAGTTGCAAAACTCAGCCGTTGTCTCTCAGTTTGACCTACCTTGTAGGTTTGTTGTGAAACGAAGGGGGAGAGGGAGGGTTATGTGTGGCATTTTGAGTTCACTGGAGGAAAGGTGGTTTATAAATGAATATAATGAATCAATACGACAGTGGCTTGGGCCCTAAGAGATCTCCAAGATCTCCCTCTAGGACACGTTGTCTCTCAGTTTGACCTACCTTGTAGGTTTGTTGTGAAACGAAGGGGGAGAGGGAGGGTTATGTGTGGCATTTTGAGTTCACTGGAGGAAAGGTGGTTTATAAATGAATATAATGAATCAATAAGACAGTGGCTTGGGCCCTAAGAGATC